AGAGAGAGAGAGAGAGAAGTAAAATTTATTTGCACATTTTTAAATGCACAAAATATATATACATATATATGCATTTTACGTTTGAGAAATAGACAAGAAGAAATAAGATGTTTCTGAAAGATGACAATTGTTCCGGTTTGTCTAAGGAGCTTGTTAAAATTAAAATGCATTGATGCTAGCTACATAAAGGATAAAGTCACGTCGAGGGATGAGAAAGGAAAAGAGCTCCCACTAATTAGTGCATTCAACCCGAAACAGTATAATCATATACATATATCTAATAGATCCTTCTTAATTTGAAGGCGTCTAAGAAAATCTCTCCTGGGTACAATTATCTTTTTATATTTATGAACGCTTCGTTTCCAAATGCGACTTTTGAGACCTTTATTCGGCATCGCGTAGCAAAAAGATGAACTTATTGTTAAAAAGAGTATGTGTATATATATATGTGTAAATATACATATACACACACACACACGCGCGTACATATATATATGTGTTATATATATATATGTATAGAATTTGTTAGACCCTTTTATATTTTTATGTGAATGCAATATATTGTACTGTTTAGAGTTGATGATAGCTGTTATCTTACGGATACGGAACTCGTCGCGCGCTCGTGAAGACGCTCTAAACTAGACTGTAAGCGACGTTAAGGATTTAGTTGGTTTCGTACTTTTTAACGTAGCTTTTAAGAAACGTAGAGGAACTTTTACATCGTGACAAGGTCGGTAGATTAGAGACGGGTATGCGACAACGATCGAAACGATCCTTCAAATTTCGGCAAAGTTGTTAAAAGGGCCGAGCGACAAATCTGTTTTCAGCATCGATCGATCGTGTTATACTAAGAACATTCTGTTCTTTCAGCCGAACGATATGATATATAACCGTTGCGATATAAAATAACGCGGGATAGTGGAAAAAAAGGGACACAAAGCGCACGCTGTGAAAGATCGAACAAGATCGAACGCTTTGAATATTTTCTTGGCAATGACAAAGCGCGAACGCACATATCAAAGAGAGAAATGTTGAATACATGATAACTGATTACTTAGTAGTATTATTAGCCATAAGATAATTAGATGAGGTTATATGAGCGTTATAAAGTTTCTATAATTATAGATTATATAAATATGTATTATATTGTTTGAGAGATAAGCTGGATCGCCGGCCGATTATTGAATTGAATATTAAGAAAGAATGGCGGGAAGACAATTTTCGCGATTCTGGGCGATCAACGTGACATAATGTAAATTAGAAGGAATCTCGCGTTTCTTGAGCTTTTCTTTTGATATATATTTCATTATCGCCATCTTTTAAGCGCTGCATACATAGGGTTATACCCCCGTCCATCGCCGCAGTGATAGATTTACGGGATACGATGCATAGTTGAATCACGATTTACGGGATTAATTAGGTCACCGCAGAGTGCTAGAAGAATGAAAGGCAAAACGAGAAGGTATATAAATACATAAATACATACATACATGCATACGCGCGCGGTATGTGTGTGTGTGTGTGTGTGTGCATGGTGTGTTTCTTGTGCGTTTGCGTGTGTAAATGCATATAAATATGTAAAATATTTAACGTTGTACGTTCACATCGACGATTCCGAAGTGGGACGTTTTTATTATGATAACAGTTTCGTTTCTTGATGTTCATTAAAATATGTCTTCGACACGTTACTTAGATATCGAGACCGAGAAATAATACAATCGTTTTACGCGTCACAAGCGTACAACGACGTTCAGACGAAATCGCTTTTCACACGACAGCAATTAAGTGCACTAATTTGCGATTGCAAAAATCGGAAAATAATTTTCCGAATAGCGACACAAAATCGAACAAGCGTATCAACGACCACGTTCCAAAGTTCGCGCGGGACAAATCTCAGCTTAAAATTAGAGATCGCGTTACAAAGAACAAGTTTAACGTTAACGGAACTAACCGCAAACATGAAATAAAAAATCATAACGAACAAAAAAGGCATCCCTTCTCCCTCAAAAGAAAAAAAAAAAAAAAAAAACAACGCCGTGTTGAAGAGAAACCGTGGGGTCAGCGTCGGGAGTTCAAGCCGCTTGTGCGTCGAATGACGAACGTGACGATTTCACTTGATGCTCGTGATGGAGAACAAGATTGCGAGGGAAACATTTCTGGATGGATCATCAATTACCGTGTTCAGAAAGGAACCGTGGAAAATGGACACGGATTAGTCGGACCGACTTACGGCGCTGGCGCCAATGGGCACGACATACCGCGTGTGCAATAAAGCGGATATAACAATATTAATATATCATTATATACAACATTTTTACAACATATACGGAAAGTAGAACAAGTGAAAAAAAAAAAGATCAGAAGTTTTAGGATAATGATTACTTGTTGTTGTCTACCATAGCGCCGTAGCATAAATAGGATATTAGTCATAGCTTGTTTGAAGGATGCGAGATGCATGGAAGAATGTCAACTCAGGAGAGGAAGACACACACAACAGAGAAAGAGAGAGAGAGAGAGAGAGAGAGAGAGAGAGAGAGAGAGAGAGAGAGAGAGAGAGAGAGAGAGAGAGAGAGAGAGAGAGAGAGAGAGAGAGAGAGAGAGAGAGAGAGAGAGAGAGAGAGAGAGAGAGAAAGAAAGAGAGGAAGAGAAAGAGAGAAAGAGAGAGTGTGTGTGCGTTGCGTGTGCGTTGCGTCTGCGTGCGTACATGCGTGTGTGTCTACCGTACGAATCCAAAGAGAGATGAATGAACGTTAATCGACGGAATGGTTGAGCACATGTAATAATTATTACCTAATTGCAAATATATATATATATATATTCACATATATATGTCCTGTACATATAGCTATGTGTGTGTGTGTGCGTGCGCGCACCACATAACACTCGCAGTTAGTTACTTAACGAAACAATGATTGATATTATATACAAAATCAATACATATACTTTAAACGTGTGCCTATGTGCGCACGTGCGGACATTCTATCTTCTCTCTATTCTCGCGATCCCCGAACTCCTCTTTCTCTTCCTGTTGTTCCGTAGCCTCCTAAGTCCCTTCTTCAGCGTACTTGTCACACGCACTTGCGCACATATCCATTACGCATTACACAGTAGCTATGTTGTGTAGGAATGTCTTTAACGAATAAATTACGATTTCTCATGTTACATGTTATACGAGAAAAATGCAAAAAAAACCAGAGAGAAAACGCAGAAAGAAAATCTTAAAATGACGAAAAATTTGTTCCGGTCAGTTACAGGCTTGTTTGAAGCTACACACTAAAATATGCGCGAGTGTCTGAGTAAAGAAATAAGATAGCGAGAGGGATAATGAGAACGCGCATGTATTCTCTGTACTAAACGCTGTATATAATTAAGTCGTATTACTCGTCAATCGCGATGCTTCCTCACGATCTTTTCGCGATTTAATTCAGTTTTCTTTCTTTTTTTTTTGCTTTTATCGCGAGAAAAGCCACGATGTTGATGGAATAGGAACGATTTTACTGTAAAAAAAATATTGATATCTATTGACACACCTTTCAAATTACTGCGACAAGAATTCAAATATCAATTTTGACAAGGAAAGTGTGAAGGGAAAGAGACGCAACACATCCGTTTAACACATTGCGGACAAGAAAATTTTTCAATCAATTGAAAGCTTTGAACAATTTTATAGTAAAAACAATTATCAATTTATGGATTTAGTTAAGAAATTGGTAATTTCTGACATCAATGTTACATGGTATGATAATTATTTTCTCATTTCAAGTTTAACGTTTATAAAATTTAAACATAACAATCATGATAAAGAAAAGTCTATTATATTTAAATTTCTCATATAATCTATGTGTATGATTATGTTATGTATTGACATTTATGTCAATTGTGAAATAATTCTATAATTAAAATATTACAATAATATTAAAGGAATGGTATTCAAATTCTGCGAAACAGTGAAATATTGTACGTTGTAAACTAAGGTAAGAAATTACTCGAAACTATATAATTCTTTCGAATGCAATATAAATCTCGTTCGCAATGCGTTAAAACAGCACTGCTGTAACAATATGATGTCTGTTAAAACTCGTTCTATTTGCTCGTAATATATGAAAGTTACACTATTTGCATGTAATGCTCTTTAGTAATATATGACATATGGCCTGTCGCGGATTTACACCACTCTTTACATGCTAACCGCTTATTCCTTCACTTTTGCCATCCGGCAACGCGTTCCTATGGAGTCTTGCGGTAGAAAATAGAATTCTACATATACGCTACTTTTTCGAAGGAGACTGTGTATCTTCTTGACGCGTTGACTCTTTTAAAAGTGCTGCGACAGTAAGTGGCCTCGAATGGCAAAGGTACTTTTTGCATGATTAAATCCGACTCTCACGAAGATATACCTTCGTCTATGTCACTCTTCACTTGGATTTAACGTTGCATCGTGCAACAGAAAGTGCTTAAAGCGATTAAAAAAATACAGCGTTATACAATAACTCGAATTAACATAGACATTTATTTAGAATACTTGTCAAGAGAAGTTTCCACTATGTATTAATTGCGTATTAAATAACCAGTTACAGATTGTTGAGAGAAGCGCAGTTGTTATCGCAATTGCGATTGCGATAACTTAAAATCATGCAAACATTTCTTCAAAAGTTCCCAAAAATCTCGCTTAAGCGCCGAACATATTCGGTGCATTCTGACTCTTCAAAACGTCACTTTGATTCGCGAGTATTTGTTGATACGCAGTCGACAATAATCAAGTAACAAGTTTACATTCTACCTTTTCCGGTATTATTCAATAAACTCAACAAGAACAAAGCTATGTTAATAAATGATCGAGCTCTATACTTATCTCGCTCGAGATTTATTATTATATATCGCGACTTGCAATAAACATTCTTTTTCGGGCATTAATCTACACTGAGACAAGTACCTTCTCCGCAGTATAGTTTGTTTCTCAGTTTTAACGCGGTCCGATAATTTGATCACGTCAGTGAGTACACATAAACACTTAATTCGTCAACATTTTTATTAGTATAGAATATTTCTCCCTAAAAAAAAACAAAAGAGAGTTGATTCTCTGAGGATTGATATCTTCAACATACCATGTATAAACAGTGCGTTACCGCTATCTTATCTGGATTTCCGTCAGAAAATTCATCATTTACTTCCTTAAAATTCTTAACGTTATTGTTATTGTTACCGTTATTATGATTATACAAGAAAAAAAATGACTTGGGAGTATAAATTACGAGGATCTAAAGTACTAACCACTTTTCTCGACTACTTGAGAGCAAATGAGCGCGTTATGCGATAACATTCTAATTAAGAGAGATACATACCTATATGTAAAGCTGACAAAAAGCGCTGATTCTTTTAATTACATCTCGACATACTCGTATCTATAGTTATTTATCTAATTACAATTTGCAAATTAGATTGCAGGGACAAGTAAAAGTATCGCAATTGACTCATCAGCGCTCTATTTTCTGCATGCACATGTAGCATTGCGTATAATTAGTATCATTATGCTACAATCGTGGTTACGACATTATTGCTATACGCGTATCCATTATTGTACTGCGGCATGTTAATTGTTTGAAGTGATTAAAGGCTTGGTAGTATCAGACGATGCTCGATAAAAAACGGTGACATGAATAAATCGAGTTGGAGCACGTTTGAATGCTTGAGCCTCCGAAGATCTTATACCTCTTGTTACGGAGAAGAATAAAAGAGCGCTCCCTCCCCTCCCCCCCACCCCCCACCCCCAACCCTCCCTACCGCCCCACACCATCGTCATTGTATATACATATATATATACATTGTGTATATATATATATTAATGCATAATATTATCATAGGACATGCGAGAATGGGCAAGAGATTGGATATTGTTGTTATTAACGAAATCGCGCGATAAATGAGAGTATTTCGTTGCGTTTTAATGCCTGCGGGACAGGATCGTTAAATGACGAAATGTCGAACTATTTTGTTTCTCGAGCAGTTACGATCGCTCCCTTTACAATTACTTGACTGTCTAGTATGTAAACGTTCCTAGGAGGCGACTGTCACATCTTCGTTTTATTATTTCAAATTCTATGCACCGACAGTGAACTTTAAACGTTTACGTTTTACGCGTCTGTCTCTACGTTTTAAACCGGACATCTCGAGACAGCGGCAAACTTTCTTTTCAAACAGTCGTGTGCCGCCGTGCTCGATATATACATTTATCAATCGCTATTTATGCGACTCTGCAGCTCTAACTCTTGAGTGGTATCCCTTAATTTCGAGGAGACATTCAGATATATTCCGTATGCAAAGACATGTATGAGTAACCATACACGAGAAACATTGCGATGACGGCGATGATGTTACATACGCATTTAAACTCTTATAGCGTTTACTACTTAATAGATAAGCTAGAGCGATGTAGAGAAGAGCGCGTGTTATCGATATGTAAATTTTTATAAGGTTTCAAAATGTAACGCATTGTTGTAGCCCGCAGCTGTAAGATGATTCCGATTTTCGGACGCGCGATACGACTTAACAGTTAGCCGCTGCTTCGAGTCTCGGAAGGGAATAAGTCTCTGTGATGAGAATGGACCGGGTATGCGACTATTCGAATGTAACGAGAAAAAAAAAATGCTGATCGTGTCGCCAGGACGGCGGCGATCCAAGTGTCGGCACGTGTGTACGAAGACGAGAGGGTGCACGTGCATCCGCGAAAAGTTTGTCAGATACGCGGGTCAATGATGTATCGCCTGATTGCACCGTTTCGTCTCGCACTTAGCTTTAATCGGAAGAATTCTCGCGACACACGCAGCAGCGAAACAGGCGGGATACACACCAACCGCTGCTTTATCGATTACTATCGCAGATGTATGCATTATTCCGTACCAAGTACGGCTAGAGCTACCGAGTAATTTATTATAGGATTAAAGAGTCAACCGTATCGCGAGTAACGGAGCACGTACGAAGAAAGGCCTGCATCGACGACCATCTGACACTCTTCACACTTGCCGTCAACACCCTCCCCCCCTCGTCCCGTCCGAATCTTATATTCCTACTCTCCTCCCAGCCACACTCCCTATATCCTACAAAAAAAAAAGAACTAAATAACATATTGTAATCTATTGTAGATTGTTGTAGATAAATTATACGGTTTGACCGTACATTGTTACTTTTTGTCGACAATATAAAATACACAGATATATAAGTAATTACCATCGATACGTCTTCTCGTCATTTTATTACCCCCCACGCTACTGTGAGTAAAGACAGAAAAATTTTCAGTTACATTAAATTGTTTATTTTTTTAGTACAAAATAAAAATTACTTCATAATATAATAAATCGTAATGATACATACTCGATGACTTTCCTTAATAAAAATTAGATGAATAAAGATGAATAAAGAAACGATATTTACAAGCATATTTGATCAATTCCTTTTTTATACAAGTATTTTTTTCGAATTAATGAGCAACACTGGGCATACTGGGCGATCCTACCACGTCGATGATGTCCGTTTTGACTTCTGGTTCTGTTTTTGGTAAGAGCGCCGGTGGTATTGTTAAAGTCTGAAAAGAAACATATTAAAAAAATGTACGATTCAAGAGATTGGTATTATATCCATTTTTTGAAATATTCATTAATATACCTTCCCTGGTGCTAGTGCTTCGTATTGATGTCTTAAAGACTGTAATTCATAATCGCATGTCGACAATGCACTTCTCAATTCATAATGCAAAACTATGTCGCTACGCAGTTCATTAAATTGCTGACATATTTGTTCCGTTGGTGGTGGATTTAATTCTATGATGTTAAAAAATAGTTTTTATTTCAGTTTTTTAATCTTAAAACTTGAAAATACGATATCAAAAAAGCGCAAGTTATAACTTCTTACCTAAACGGAGTTCATTCAACATCTGTTCGATGCCTTTCATTTTCTTTTGGCCAAGACTACTTGGCAATTTGATTCTCTGAGAACGAAGAGTAACACCGCTATTTTTAAAATCGGGGAATTTAATTCCAGCTGACTCCACTGCCTATAGATTAAATTATAATATTAATATAAGAAATGTATAAAAGAATACTTTAAAATAAATATACTATGTATAATACAAATTTATATATACTCACGTGAGAAGTATCAGTTTTATTTGGTCTATTTCTAGAAGAACTGCTACTCTTTTTGGAAGATTTTCTCTCACTTTTTCTAGGATCTGCTTGATGATCAGCTGCTGTAATTAATTTTTGCAAATCTTGTGTTTTTCTGTCCCTCTCTTTTTTTCTTTGTTCAATTTTACGTAGTTCAGCTAATAGTGTCTGTTCCTCTTCAACTTGCTCAGGTGTACGTTCAAATAACTTTTTGAGCTGTTCCTTTCTCCGCTTCTCATGATCCGCATCAAAGACATATACTTTGTCTGAGTGGGATTTTGACTTTATCAAAGCAGCACATACCTGATAGTATCTGCACATTTATTTATAATTACAAACACATTCAAAAAAACGTCTAAATCTGTAGAAATAAAATATACTTGTATTATAATTTACCTCTCTTTTAAATCTTCTACAGATCTTGTAGGAAATTTAGCACGATCCCATCTGTCTCTAATAATAATAAATCTGAGATCAAATCTTCTGCATAGATCAAATAAATGATCCGTTTCTGCTCGTGTCCAAGCATTACTCACTAAATGTTGAACGTATTCTGCATTTGTGTATGTAGGAATAGGAACTTTCTTATTAAATTTGGCAAAAGGATATTCCTTTCCAGCATCAGCAACGCGTCTCCAATGATGAAATACAGCACCGTCAGTACGTGCTGGATTAGTGAACGGTGTCCATCTCCATGGTCTCACCTTTTTCATACCAAGCTTGGCTCTTACTTGTTTGTATCCTTTCGCAGTGTCAGTTGGAAATAACGGTGGCACGTCGTTGTTGTCCTTACAGAGGAGTGCAAACACCTCGCGGTGCATACCCTCAGGACGTTTTGGCATTTTGTTATAATCATATCGTTTACGATTCTTTTTATCGCTACCCAATATCGACTCTTTCGTAAGTTCTGTAGACGTTGGAACGTCAATATCTAGAATATCGCGTACATCTGCCATCCTAACGACTTGAAATTTTCTCTTAAAAATATATGCTTCGATTTATCTAAGGTTATGTTTTTGTTATACGATTAATAATACATTTGATACACTAGAACGAGGTACACTAGTCGATTTTGTTTTATCGTCACATATAAAATTTCTTTATTTTATTAAACAATCACCTCCTGGCAGTTTAAAATAAAAAACTCACAAAAAGAGAAACTAAAACAATTTCATGAATTTTATAAACCATAACTATATTAATGAATGAAGATACACTATACTCCCGCGCATGCAGTAAGCTTCGCAGTTGGAAAAATAAGCGATGATGGCGGTAGTGTCGTTTTGGCTCTTTTCAATTATCATAGGGTATATTTACAATAGTTGCAAGAGTTTTACTTGTGATTGGCCGCATTTAACAGTTGGACAACGTTGAGTAACTGCAATGTTACTAGATTTTTTACTGAATCTCGACGTTGATTTGTTGGTTTTAAAAGTAAGAGCCAATCACGTTCAATTGCTACTAAGCGGTTTGTTCTGCTGGATGCGCCCATGGGTGTCTTGTCTTGTGAATAGTTCATGCCAGTGGCGCCATGTTTGACACCGCGGGATATTACTTCCTTTCCCGCGCTGAATTCGTTGAGGTGAGTACGTGTAATTCTGTTTCATAACATAATTTTGTAACAAACATGTCTTTATGCAAATTATGAGTCGAATTTGTTCACGAGTTTTATACTCTTACGTTTGCGACTTTTAATAGAATATTTTGCGTGTCGATACGGCATCGATATTTCCGTATCATCTTCGCGCGATGTAACGCGGTTATGTTACCGGTTTCTTACTTGAACTTAGCGCGAGACATGACGCCATGTTTCTTGACCTTGATGTCGCGAAAGATACAAAAGCATACGGAATTGTTCGTATGAAAGTATTGAGAAAAGACAATCGCGAGATTTTCATATTCACATTCGTACACGACTTTCCAAGTTTGTCGGTCGTCGCGTGACTTTGCACTCTGGTTTCGTTTTTAGAACACGCACCGCAAGTGCGTCATGATTATGTGTGCGTGAAAATAACGGAAATTGTCATTATCTTATTACAAGCATAAATCACATAAGTATCACGATTATCGCATTATTAACTTTAGTTTACGGTTCATGCATTTGTGTGATGCCATTACGTGATCGATGTAGCGATTTCAAATTTTGTCTTTATATACATCTCTATTTATGCATGTATTAAAATGTACAGAGTCGCAGTGTGCGTCGAGAAAGCGCGCGTTCCGACGTACACTTTGCCATTCTGCACATTTGATGAAATGCATGTATAAGTAGAGATGCATACAATAAAGACAAAAATCGTAAATAAAAACGAAAGGTACTAAAAAAAGCATGAGAAAAATAAATGTCGCAAAAGTAAGTGCTGTTATAGTGAGTATACATAAATAAATTTATCTTTATTAAAGTCGTGAATTAAATTTATTGGCAAACAGTTTTACATTCTCACAGTCATATTGGCGGTTATGTTTCGTCGGTTTCGTCGTATACCGTCATCAGCGCGAATGTTCGCGATTTGTTTAAAACATAATTTTTATCGTGTGTAGCCGGTGGTAACAGTGAAAGTTTTTATTTCCGTTAAATTTTAAATTCGCATTGCAAAGTAATGTCGCGAGTGTAAGTGTGTGCTTAATCAACGAGGGAAACTGCAAAATGGGCAGCACAGAGTTTTGCATGCACAGGTGGAGTTCGACTGCAGTTCGACGAAATGGTGAGTGCTAGATTAATATTCTTCTTTTCTATTGTGTTATCGTTAATATAAATTGATCGTTAATATAAATTGATCGCCAATTTGCAAATTTATATTACTATTGCTTTTTTTACACGAAAGATGTGGAAATATTCATGATATTATTAATTTCGGAACACAATTCAAATTGAAAATGATAATATGAAAGTATCTGTTATACACATAAATATTTATTGGTAAATTTGCTTTTGAGAATTAAGATGTACTTTTAATAATGGAAAATTCTTTTTTTATTGGTTAGGTTATTGTATTTATTAGTTGGGTATTTTGTGATGTTGCATTTGGGAATTTAGTTTTATTATTATACGTTGGTAAAGTAACAATTGTAAAAGTGATATCAACTTTTCAATTTTCTGAATAATCGGTTATAGATAAAAATATTTGCAAATAGCTTTTGTCGATAAAATTGGGATTTCGTCATCTGTTTATTATTTATAGAAAATGTGCAATACTGTAGAAAAATGAAATATCTAAAAAGAAAGTCAGAAAAGAATACAAGCAGTATACTTTTTGTATTTTTATTGATTTTTATATATAACTCACATTTGATTTACATATAATATTTTTTAATACAAAAGTACATGATATACAATGTTATATCATAATTAATGTGATAAATATATGAATTTTTAGCTAGCAATATTTTGCTAGCAAAATATTTTCGAGAAATACATGTCTTCTGAATATTTAGAGAATTATTTGAATAAAAAAACGTACTAATATTAAAGTATAAAAAAAAGTAATATTTCAAACACACACACATGCCAGTAAAATATTTATATTTTTATTAGAAATATTACATAAAAATTATTTTATTT